AATTGAGTTGAGTAAGTTTATAATTTTACCCTTAGAAATATGGCACGTGACACTTATGTGTGGCTTTTTCATAAAAATACTAAGAATTGTAATTAATTGGACCAAATTGAAACAAAATCATAAATTTAGAGTCAAAATTGAGCCAATTAAAAGTACATGGACTAGAATAATTTAAGGGGTAAAACACAAGAACTACTGCCATAATTTGCCCTTTGATTTATAAGTCAAGTGAGAAATTCTAATATAAAAACAAGTTAAGTGAGAAGTTGATGAGAAAAATAACTCTTTTATGTTAAATGTTTCATTTCTCACAAAAAAATTGTGAGATTTGGGAGAAACAAGATAATTCATTGTATAGTTTTTTTATAAGGAAAATGCTAAAAACAATCTTAACACTTCATTTGGATCGAAAGTGATAAAAGAAAAGACACTATTGTGATTTCTCATTTATGTGAAAAAATAAAAGAAATGATTATATTTTTTCATGATCACATTTGAATGAGCAAGAAAACAAAGCGTATGAAAAAGAGATATGAGTAAGATTTCTTTTTATTCCTTTACGTTTTAAAGGATAATCTTCATATTACAAATATTATACAACCAACTAATTTGTTTATCACCAAATCTAACCAATTTTGATGAGAAATGAAATAAGCTTAGTAAGAGTTTTCTTTCTCACCATTTCTCATTCAACTTATAAGAGTAATGCTATACAAACAAAAAAATTCTTATATAATTTTCAAAAATAATGATGTAGCTTATTATGGACTATTCACTTCAAAATAAAACACCAATGAAGATACATTTATTTACAATAATGGCATTGCCACATAATTCTTGTGAATTTTTTTGTATGAATAGAATTTTCCAGCTTTAAAACCAACCATGATAAATGAGTTATGTTTCTCAAGGGAAGTGTAAATTATTCAAAAAATGTGCAAAAAAGTATATTGAAATGTGTGAAAATATTTTGAGATATGTGAATAGTATATTAAAATTAGAGTAAATTACATTGATAGTCCTTGCAATTTGTTCATTGTATCATTTTACTCCTTATAATTTCAATTAACTTTAAATTTAAATTTTGTCAGTTGATAACGTCAATTTTTTAAGAAAAATGGTCACTAAGTTGGTTGAGATCAACTCACTGAGTTGAATAAGTTTATAATTTTGTCTATAAAATCATAATACATGTCGCTTATGTGCACATCTTTCAAAAAAACTATACAATTGCAATAAATTGGGCTAAAGTGAGACAACATCATAAATTCAACATTAAAAATCAAGTCAATTGAAATCACACCTACCAATATAGCACAAGCAAAAATATAGGGACTATCGGTGTTTGTGCATCTTATTGACAACCTTTAGAGCTACCATTTGTAGGATGGACCGACCACGAGCTATTTATGAACAATTTAGTTCGTTCGCATGAAGTTTTTGGAATTAGGCAGAAAGAGGAGAAAAAAATTATGAAAAAATTACAAATCAATGGTGCCTTCACAAAATATTTACGAATTCATGAAAAAAATTTATCATTTTAATTATTAAAGTTAATAAAATTTACCATTAATTTAATTTAACTTTTTTGAAAAACCAAACTGAATTGCAATTTCTCCAAAAATTATCAAATGTTCTAGTACACCACGGGATTATGAGTATACCCATTTTCCACATGAATCCATGATCACATTGTCTCATTTATCCAACAAAGTGGTCACATACCTCTCACATGGGAGTCCGGATCCTCTAAAGTTCCTTCCTCGATCAAATGGCTAAAATTAAGAGAAATCAAAACAATGTTGTTTTGATTAAGACGAAAACTTAAAAACAAAAACAACACAGAATGAAGAGAAAGAGAAGAGACCCCTCCTTTCTCTATCAATCGACAGAGGGAGTCCTTTGGTGGTGCGGCAGATTGAAGATTGTTTGGTGGACCCATAGTTTTCTATTTCCTGACGCAGTTGCATTGTGTGTTTTCGTTATGTTACTATTGTTGTACAAACTTGCAGTTTGGGATTTTTATACTAGAAGATTGTTGCTAACATTCTGTTTTTGATTTTTCAACACTTTCTACTAGTACTTGCAGTTTGGGATTTTTTAGAATACTAGAAGATTGTTGCTAGCATTATTTTTTTTTGTTAGGTCCCTTGATTGTCAATACCGGGTATAAAACTTTGTGTTGAACAAATTGTAATTTTCCTGTGTTTTTTGTTCTTCCCGCTCGAGCGGGACCATTGGCGCTCGAGCGGATATTGTAGTCTCTCAGTATTTTGTCAAGTCTGTAAAAATACTGGAAGGTATGATTTCGCGCTCGAGCGGGTAATCGAGCGCTCGAGCGGAACTCTGTTTTGTTGCATGCAGTTTTTGCTGAAGCCGCTCGAGCGGGTTGTTGGCCGCTCGAGCGGAGATCGCGGACTCAGGATTCCTATTTAAATCTGTTTAGACTGTTTTAAGGATGACTTTTTCTCAGATCTTATTCAAGAGTCCTAGGGTTTGGTTAGAAGTTTGGTTCTGAGGTTTTTTGTGAGTTTTCCTTAATGTTTTGAGAAGAGTTCTTCAATCATGATCTAAGATACATACATCAAGGAGTTGGTTACGTTAAATTCAAGAGAGAGATCTCTTCGGTGGATTCCGAAGATTCAAGCGTAGAGTATCAAAAGGAGTTTGATTCGGTACGTAGTCGTTCATTCGACAAGTGAAGTTGTTGATTCAACTTCAGGATTGATCAGTTCCGAGACGAAGGCGTGGTGAAAGAGTTACAGAAGATTCGAAGGCAAATTGACTGAGTGGGGTAATTTGTGTGTTATCTTTGTAATCTTTCTTACTTCAGTAGTGGATTGATTAGTGGCGTTTCGCCCGTGGTTTTTTATTACAATTGAAGGTTCTTCAATTGTGGTTTTTTCCATGTAAAAATCATTTGTGTCGATTTATTGTTTATTCTGAAAACAAAAGTTCAAAAAAAGCTTACGAGGAATCCAAATGACTTAAACCGATTACCCATGTGGTTACATGAATGTAAACTATGATCAATTGAAGTGTCTCCACTTGGTTTTAGATTTCAAAAAAACCATATCCTCTAATTTGACTCCAAAAGGAATTTGAGGGCTAAGGTACAAGGTGAGAAGGGGTTAGGCACCCAAAGTTCCCCGAAGTCAGCGTCTACTCATCACCTGTTAATTCACAAGTTAAATCCCAAATATGAAATCTCTCAAACAATAATATAATAATCCAAGTAAATTAAATAAAGTAAACAATCAAAGCAACTAACAAATCAAGAATGGAAATGGGCCATGTTTGTATGGGCCTCCCTTGCCATAGGTTATGAATGAAGAGTTCTACTTTGGCCCCGACCAAATCCAGAATCTTAGAGAGGCGTGGCAGGGCCTAAAATTCACCTTAATGAGGGTGGTTTCCCATCAGATTTAAGGAGGTTAGAGAATTTTTTTTTAAACTAGTAAAATAATACTTGATGCCTGCACGTGGCATTTGGAAGCTTGAGGATGGGTCACTTGATACTTGAGACAGCCTGTTGTAGAGGGTGTGATAGGGAAGCATGGTGGTTTCTTATTTTTTCGATGTGGGATTAAGAACTACTTGAAAAAAGTGATAAACTATGTGAAGTGTTAAGTTGTCCCACATACTGACTTGTCGCACATCATTTTTACAACTAAAAGAAGCAGCCTTTATATAATGACACTGTCATGCACAAAACAAAAGTTAGCGTAGGCAGAGACCAAAAGTTAATTTTTACTCAATTTTTTTTGGCATCCAGTGAATTGGTATTGAAAGGACAGTATTTGTTCTTGGCTGCCCCTTTGATTTATGGTTGTAACTTTGTGAAGTTCATGGGTTTCCATATTTATAGACAGCATCATTTTTCATGAGGTCGTGTTAAGTATACATAAAACTCTCACTTCATTTGTGTGTGTGTGTGAGAGAGAGAGAGAGAGAGAGGGCGTGTCCTTATTCAATATTTTGGTTTAGTATAATTTTGTACTGCCATTCTTTTCTGGTTTATGAATTATCTTCTTGGTTGGTATGGCATTATTCTGCGAGTTAAAGCCTTTGTGTATCAACTTTCTTTGTCAAGTTTAGTCATCTCTGGCATACAGGATGATTTTTATTTTTTATTTTTATGCAATATTTTGTGATGCCATTATTTTTGTGTTTCTGTTGTTGAAATAGATGGACAACCTTTAGTATTGGATGACATTGAAAAGGATCTCCCCGCAAACTCTGCAAAGGTGCTGATGGAATCAAAATGGACATTCATAACTCAGGAGGTATATTTTCTTGTTTTTACCTTTTCTATATTCTTTTGTTCAAAGGGGTTCCATACAAATGTTAGTTTTAAGTTTGAGCGGACATGAAATTATTGTCATGGCACATCACTTTCTCTGCATTCTAAACCTTATAAGTTGGGGGTGATGAACCTGAGACTATAAGAGAAAAGAAATGTATTTGTAGATTTCTAGAGACACTGGTTCTTGTCCTGTCAGTATGGAGAATCACTCTTGTGGCAGGCGATTTTCGCCTGTTAGAAATAAGGATTCTACATGGCAACAAAAGTATTGGAAATTTTGAAAAATTGTATTTCACTGTTTGTCTATTTTTGACCGCCCCACAGCAGTTGATACTGCAGAACTCTGATAAAAGTACCCTAAAAAAATTTGTGTAGTGTATACTGGAAATCGATAATGAGCCTGCTCCAATGCAATGAATTAGTGAAGGCATCAAGAATTAATTATTCCTTGAACCAATTTCTAGAGTTTTTAGAACCTTTTGAGTATAGCTTCTTGCTCGATTGTTTTCATTTTGTTTGACTTCATTCATGTACATTGGTGGCACCCCCTTGGTGCCTTTTAAAAAAAAAAAGAAACAACCAACCCAAAATAAATAAATAAATAACAAAGAAAGGAGAGCACAAAAACAAGATCCAAAGAAAAAACAAAAATAAAAAAATAAAAAAAAAGAGAGAGAGAGAGAGAGAATAAAAATTAAGAAAGCACTTTGGGAACAAGCTTTAGTAAAGAAAGATGTAAGGGAAGGAGAGGGAGGGAGGGAGGGAGGGAGGTGTGACAACCATAGTCTGAGGAAGCCAGTGTGAGGGCTTTGAACTGGCACTCAATTCTTGAAAGGAAAAGCATGGCTTCATTGAAGGGCTTTGAAAGTTCTTGTTCATACTTTGTCAGCATCTCACAATATGCCTCCATGAATTGATCCAGTGCTGGATCTTCGCCGATACACCCGGTCCCCGTCCCGGCACGGCCAACTGCGGCCGCTGACTCCAGTCTGGCCACCACTTCCGGCGGTGCTCCTATCTGCTTCATTACACATGCATACATATAAACATATAAATAAATAATACGTATTCTTGCTTTTCTTTCATTAGTATGTGTATGGAGAGAGATTATTTACTCGAGGAAGCATAAACTATCTGTTTCTGTCCCTATCATTCTGGTTAAAAAAGGTTTCAGGCTATAGACTCATTTCCTTGAAGAGTGTCCTTTAAATTAGGGAACTAACAGATAAAGAACCTTTGTCTCTGTCTCACACACACACACACACACAGATTTCCATTATAGTACCCAAATTTTTCAGTGGAGAGAAAGTAAGCATAATTTCTCTCTTCTTCAGGCTCTTGGTGTCTGAATCTATGAATTTGGAAGAGGAAGAGATGTGGGTCTTTGACAGCCTCCAAGAATTATTAGGCACACATCTAGAGAGAGTGTGTCATGGTTTTGAACATCCGGGTATTTGTTTTTTTAATGAATTTGAAACAAGAATGATGAGAGAGAGAGAGAGATTTATGGTTTAGGGCATCTGGGTGTTTTTTTTTTTTTTTTTTTGGAAGAGGTGAGGTTAGTTTATTACCTTTTGACGATTGACATAGGCAGCCAAGGGGCGGTGGTAGTGAGGATGAGCCATGATCTTAGCCCTGACAAATAAAAAGCCATCATCATTGTTGTTGTTATGGTTCTCTATAAAGTAACGGCCTGAGTTTGTGTTGTTATTGTTGCAAGTGTTTTGGCCATAAATGTGATTGTTGTTGTTGAGAGGTATTGGAAGAAATAGGGTATTATTGTTATCAACATTAGGGTGAGAAGGAGGCATCATCATCATCATTGGACATAGTCCATAATTGTTCTCCCCAAAACCCATCAAACATGAAGTCCCACTAGAACCCCCACCTCCCTCTATTAACCCTTCTCTCTCTCAGTATCTTATTGTTCTCCTTTGATCTTCTTCTCAGCTTTCTTATATAACCCTAAACCATAACCATCTCTTTCTCTCTCATACACAAGGAAGGGTAATATGGTTATTTTTTATAGGATACTAACATCGTTTGTGCAAAATAGACGGAATGAGAGAATCTTGACATTGTCAAGTAAAGTAGGGGAGGTTACTGTAATTATTTAAATCATTGGAGAGGTCCTTGTATTTGTCAGAAACCTTAGGGGAGGTAAATGTAATTTACCCTAAATTTTAAAACCCTATAGTTAACTTTTTTTTTTAGAGCGTTATTTTATTACAATTAAATTTGTTTGTTTGTTTTTTTTTTTTTTTTAAAGGATTAGGTTAAGAATTTGTACTTTATTTCTCTTATTTTATTAACAAAGTGCAAACAAAATCACCAGATAAAAATATTATTACTTATAATTTCAATAAATGTTGCATACGAAAATTTGATTTTCTAAATTTTTAACAAAATTCTAATAAAAAAGGTTCATTGTAATAAAATAATAGTTTTAAGGGTTAACTATTAAGTTTTAAAATTTAATGGACATAATACAAATGGATCATAGTTTGAGGGGTTATTTGTAATTTACACTTAAAATTTTTAGATAAATTACACTCTGTATTTTTTTTATGTTCAGCCATTTTTTTCATTTTTTTATTTTGAGCTTTCATAATTCAAGCTTTTTTAATTTATTCTTAAAACAAACTTTTATTTAAAATTAGACAAAAAATGTCATGTTAAGTGCAACATAACATAAAAAATACATTATTATATTGGCATTTGAATTTGTGTTAGAGTTTGATATAGAGCTGCAAATGAACTGAGTTGTTCGCAAATTGACTCGGCTTGGCTCGTTCAGTAAATGAGTTGAACTCAAACTCGAATATTAGGATCATTTAATAAACGAGCAGAGTTTGAATTTTAATAAGTTCAACTTATTTATTTTTATTTTAAATTATATAATAAATATATTATTTATATATTAAATGATATATAACTATATATAAATTTTTTTATTTAAATAGTATAAATATAAAAGAAAATGTTATCGAACCAAACCAAGCCGAACTTGAGTTTAATTAATATTAATGAACTGAACCGAGCTTAAACCTAATTAATTATCGAGCCGAGCTCATCGTTTGTAGCCCTAGTTTTATATGATAAAATATTCTTATGCTATGAATTTAATGTGTCATTTTTTAGTCTAATTTTAGATATAAGTTAATTTTTGCAGCAAATTAAAAAAGAAATGAAATATGAAGAACCAAAGTGCAAGTAAAAATTTTAAAAGTCAAAGTGAAAAAATGGCCAACATAGAAGACACAAAGTGTAATTTATTTGTGAAAGTATTGGGTAAATTACATTAACCCTTCAAGTTTGAAGAAAATATAACAAGTTTTACAATTTTGACATAATCATACTAACATTTATTTTCGTAAGGTTAAAAAGACTAAAATTATTACAGATATTATGAAAATATACAACATAAAATATATATTTTAATACAAAAATAATAAAAAAATTAATTCATATGACTAAAGATTTTTTGATAAAATTAAAGTCAAGTTTTATATAAACTAAAATCTTACATAAATTTAGTGCAATTAGGCTTGGTTTGGGAAGTGAGCTGATTTTTTGGTTTTTTTAACTATTTTAGCCTGAGACTAAAAAAACTTAGGTCAAGTTTGGTATCTGTCTAAAAAGTCAAAAAGTTACTCAAAAAGTTAAAAAGTTATCACTATTCACCAAAAGTCAAAAAGTACGGCTGCACAACTCGCAATCCTAATTTTTCTTTACACACTAATTTATACAATTTTTTAATACATATTTTTCCATAAAAAGTTAAAAAGTTAACCCAAATAATCATATTTTTTTTCTCAACTTTTTAGTCCAAAAAGTAAAAAAGTGTACTTATTTAGAACATCCTAAACAATCATTTAGTTTGGGAAGGACTTTTGATTTTTTTGTGAGAGAAATAATATAATAATTATGGATTGAATGTAATATTTTGTCTTATTAAGTTAAAAAACTTATTTAGTTTTTTTGTAATTACTTTAGCCAAAAAAAACCTCCACACCTACTTCCCAAAGAGACACTTAATAATAAATTTATAAAATTTATTATATATATATATATATTTTTAATAATAAATTTGAAAGCGTAACACGTGTCCAACATAATTCCTCACGTGATAATCATTTTTTTAACTTAAATGTCGAACGTAATTCCTCACGTGATAATTATTTTTTTAATTTAAATGTGGAACGTAATTCCTCACGTGGTAATATTTTTTTAACTTAAATGTGCAACGAGTAATGTTAAACATTCTATTAAAATTTTTATAAACGTTTATTTTTAAACGTCAAACCATTAGCTTCACCAACAACCACAATTTCATAACATTAAAGTACCCCACATTTTTCTAAAAAAATATTTTAAATAACTAATTCAACACCACTTATACACCATTAATGAGATGCACTATGTAGATCCTATCACTGATGTGATAGTTTAGGGTCTGTTTGGTAACGTTTACGTTTTCAGTTTATATTTACAAAAATTTTATAAACTGATTTTTGTTTATTTTTTAAAAAAATAAACTACAAATACGTTTGGTAATTGACAAAATATTTAAAAAAGTTTAAAAATATAAAAAAAAACGAGAAATGGCAAGTAGTGGCAAATGGCGGCGGAAGACGGTGGTGAAAAGTGGTGACGGTGGGTGGCGGGTGGGTGGATGGGTGACGATGACGGGTGGTGGGTGGAGGGTGGTGGTAGTGGTGGTGGTGGGTAGTGGTTGCGGTTCGGTGTGGCTCTTGCGGCGGGGTTGTGGGTGCCTGTGTTGGCTTTTGGTTGGTGGCAATTTGGATGGGGGATGGGTTGCTTGTGGCGTTTGTGGCGAGTGTGGCTGGATTGGCGGGTGGTGGTGGATTGGTGTGGTCGGATGCTGGAGTGGGTTTCGTGGTTGGTTGACAGGTGGTTGGGTGGTGGTGGTGCGGTTTGTGGGCTGGCGTGATTGGGTTGTATACGGGTGATTCTAGGTGATTTGCGAGTGAGGCTGATGGTGGTTGACAGGTGGGTTGTTGTTTACTCGCTTGCCCGTGTGGCGGCCCTGGGCAGCCTGCTTACGGTAGGTGGGCGCTGGGGTTGGTGATGTGGGCTCTTGGTGGGTGGGTGGGTTTTGTGGGCTTGACGTGGCCGTAGTGGGTGTAGCGAGACTGGCGTGGTGGGTGGCGGTGGCAAGTGGGGCTGCTTGGCAGATTGGTCTGGGTTATCGATTGGTGGCGGGTGTAGTAGTAGCGGGTGGTCGTTGGGTGGTTTTGGGTTGTAGTGGGATGATATTCTTTTTAGTTAGATTGGGTTTGCGTATGCTTTTGAGTTGTGGACTGGTGGTTCGGCAGGTGGGATGGTGGGTCTGGTTCTTGGGTTGGGTGATGTGTGGTGGTGGTTGTGCGTCCGGTGGTTTAAATGTGTGGTGGTTTGGGCCTATGGGTGGGTCTGGCAGGCTGGCTGGTTGGCTGGTGGTCGGTGGGGTTTTCCGTTTGGGTGGTAGTCAAATTTGGCGGCTTGGTGTGGCAGGTGGGTCTTCTTGGTGAGTGGTGGTCGGCGGTAGGTTACGGGTTGGTGGTAGCACGGGGGCGGCTGGACTGGTAGGTGCGGGCGGGTGTGGGCGGCGGCCGTGGTTTGGCGGGTTTGGATGAACGAGGCTGGTCTAGTGTAGTCTTTGGGCTGGTGGGTAGCAAAAGTGGTCTTTGGTGATATGGCGTCGGGCTGGTGGGTAGTGGTTGGTAGGTGTTTTTTTCTAGTCTCTGGGTGGTGAGTAAAGTGGCATTTGACAGGTGGATATTGCAAGGGGTTGGTGGTCGGCGAGAAAATCAGGTGGTAGGAAATGTGGTGGGTGGGGGCTTAGTGTTTGGGTAGTAAAAAACTGAAACTTCAAACACGAAACAACATTTTTGAGTTTCACATTTTTTTTGCCAAAATTTAATAAACTGAGAACCAACTGATTTATAATCAAAAATTTAACCACTAAAAGTTTTTAATTGAAATTTTTAAATTTTTGTAAATATAACAGAAAATTAAAAATGTGTGTTACTAACGATAGCTTAAGCTTTGTTTGTTGTTCTGTTGTTTTTTTTTGTTGTCTTGCATGTGTCAGCGCTCATCTAAGCTGACATTTAATGGCTACCTGGTTAATAATATGTATGCACCAACTATTTTTTTTAATCAGTGGTGAAAGCAAGACAATATAACTAGAAGACTGGTGGGGTTTCTATGCTGACTCGGTCAAAATGGGAGAAGTCTCTGGTCGCACAATTTGGGAACATTGAGATCATAGACAAGCAAGAACACTAACTATGAGGAGACAGGTGGGTTGCTATGGCGACTCGTTCAAAATGGGATAAGTCTGTGGTCCCACAATTTTTGGGAACCGTCACTCACATACTTGGTTCAGAATTTCTACGCCTTATGGTTTTGATTATACAACTTTTATTTTGGCCATTGAGATGTGGCTGTGTGGGGAGGGCACAACAGATTGTGCAGTTTGTGGATCGTATCTTGTATTCCATTTTGAACATTAAAATATTATATTTTTTTATCCCAAAATATAACATAAAATAAAATATAATTTTATAAAAATATAAAGATAATAATATATTATTAAATAATTTTTATCGTTATTTAGTTTTTTCGAATTTATAAACTTAAATCATATTTATTGTGATATCGAGCGATTATAAAACTAAATAAAAAAATACAATTTGATAATCAACTTAATTTTTAATAATATAAAATTATTTTACTCACAAACTTAAAAATTAAACATTTAAATTATTAAAAATATAGCCTAAATGGAGTCTCATAGCACCACCAATGACTATTGACTGTGTTTGCACACACATAAATAAATCTTGTCGTTTCTTTGAAATTGTGGTTGATCTTGATATCCTGTATATTCTTGAGGTTATTTTTCCTTCAGCTCACTATTCATAAAAGACATGTTTCAATATCCTCAAATATTTTACAAACTTTTTTTCCCATATATATATAGGAGAGTGTGTGTATATGTTAAATATTTAAAGATCACTTACATTGCTAGGCCAAAATACTCCATTACATCCAACATAAACCAGATTGTGTAGAATAACTAAGGAACTTCACAAAAATTATCAAAAAAATCTACATAAATACTACATTAAATAATTGTGACTACTCATATTTTTCATGTATGATTTAAAAGATTCTATAGCATTTTTTATTCATTATGAAAAAAAAAAAATACACTATGTAAAAAGAAAATCACCAAACAACTAATAAAAATTTTGGAAAATAAATCTATAATAAACACACCTTCAGAGAGTTTATTTTAAAATACAAATGCCCTTGTGCATTCTGGATACTTACAAATACTAAATATGGTAAGAAATTTGTTATTTAATAACAAAAATAAAATATTTAAATTACTCATTCAATTAACAATAAAATTATTTGAAATTCGTTAATTAAAATACTATTAACATTATTAAAAACTATAATTGACTTCCATAATTTTTAATAAAAGAGGATAATTTGTTTTTATTAGAATTGAGCAAAAATGCAAGTGACGAGATGTAATTTTTAAATACTATACAAGACACCAATTTGCATACTTTAAATAAATTTCATAAAATTGAAATATATTTATGTTGCTTAAATTTGACCTTTTTTCGAATAGTTATTGATTGTAAATTCTTACCACGCGTGCCAGCACAGGATCAAAATCAATCCTTACAGAAGATTCATTTGCAACCACTTTATCAGCACGAATTGTGCGTGTTTTAGTTCTTTCAATCTACATGAAAAGGACTTTTATTGGGTGGATTTTGTTTAAGAAAAATTAGGCAAACCATGATTAAATGGAAGAACAATTGTAGCAATCTCTTGAAAGTAAAATGAAAGAACTAAATACCAAATGACCCCATTCAACCTCAGTAAAGGTTAACAAAGCACACAGCTATTTGATAACTACTCCATAACAATGAACAAGATGAGTGTGAAGAAATTTAGAGAACAGAATGTACAGAAGAACAGAATGTAAAAACTGGAAAGCAGGAAATCCAAAGTAGAAAATTATAACATAGTTTCTTGTGATCCGAGTTGGGGTTACTTTCTGGCGGCCATTACTACCTAGCACCTTATATTCCAAATGTAACCCGCGAATGAGTTTCTAACATATCGAATCTTTCCTCCATGATCGCTGATGCATTTTCGCTTAGCAGTTAGCTCCACTACGCCAATGTCCTACAGTTAGGCTTCCCTCGTGATTTTTGAATTTCAAAAATACGAGTAAACTGTTAAAGCCACGTTATCTTGCACTTCTTTGCTAATCCAGTGTTATGCAGATCCACAATAACCAATACTAACTGCCATGTGTGTGATTACGATTGAAGATTTGAATTGTCTTCCCGTATTGCCCTCATCCTGCCACGTGTTGAACTGTGATTGGCCTATACAAAATATGTAGCCAACATTACCCCCCGCACTAATATACCCAATACTTGGTGATATTAGTGGATCAAGGTATTTTATCCACGTCTTAAAACGTGCATGGGCTTTACATTTTTCAGAAATGCAACCGTCATTCATCAATGAAACATTTGCATTAAATTCTCTTCTATCCTTTGAACATTCCCACTATCTCAGTATTTGAAAAGACTGGTACATCTTTCATGGCCAAGCAAACCTTTTCTTCCCTCGATCAAGCATATGAAAAGTTGTTTGATAATGTTGTTCGTCCTCGAAAGAACCTTCATGCATTGATTAACCACCTTTACCCACCTCCCTATATTCAAGTCATGGAAGCTTTTGCAGACTATCAACCTTTGGATTATGAACCTATTGTCCATAATTCTTTAATCCAAAATTTTGCAAACATGGATTTTGGAAGCTCTTCCTCTGACCCAAAACCTCCTACGTAGGATAAGGCTGCAGTTTCTTCTTCTTCTAGGGCTTTTGGTTGGAGAAGCTGGCCAGAACCTGAGGAGTCCAAGTTAAGAGAGCGAATCAATCATCATTTTGTCGAATTTGTTGATCCTCTAACTTTCCCTCCCTTTGCTCGGAGTTCGGTGGTTTACCCATATGTACTCATTGACCACTGATGCCGCTTGGAAGACAACTTACTTGTAGCATGATACACGTCTTCCATGCCTACGAAGATAGTACATGCCACTCGTTGTCCAGAAGAGGCTGAAGGGTATAGTCTGTCATTCTTAGCCCAGAAGGCAAAACTTTGCTCTTCTGACTAGCTTGATATCGTCAACAACCCCCAATTTCCTCCTTCTTTGGAGATGGAAGCTCTTGTACCTCCTCTTCTGTAAAACCCTCACTGGATGGAGGAACTGAGGCTTACTCTCATTGAGGACCAATTTCTCCCCTCCTATCACCCTCCATCTCCTCCTACCAAATATCAACGACAGCAAGCCCAACATCTGCTTGCGGCCTTTTCTCACTTGCCCTTCAATATTCTCGAGGACGATGTTCTTCTCAAGAACTTTCGATGGGCTTGTGATATTATGACCCGGGGTCATGTCCTCAACCCCATCGCCCAAGCAGAGCTTAAGATGTTTTTAGACCAACTCCCACTGCTTCTTCATTGGCATCACATTTCTGTGGCCACCACTCGATCTTTGGACCAAATCTCAGCCCGTTGAGTTCATACCCGGTATGAAGCAGAGAACCTCATCGATGAATATAATGATTTCAAGAATAAAGACTCTATACTTGGATGACTTGGACATGGATGAGATAGAACAAGGGTTGAAAGAAACAAAGTTTAAAATAAAGGCTGAAAAACTTTTTTTATCAAGTAAGAGCATATCAACTTCAGCAGCCTAGCCTGGAGAAGATAGAATAAAAAAGGAACAGAAGTTCATTGACCATAGTTGGAACAAGTTCCATAACCTTGTCATTTATTCTATTCCTTATTTTTATGAACTTGAATATGTAGCCAAAGAAGGCTTCTAATGTAATTGCTTTTGTCTTAATAAAGCTAAGATGTTTTCTCTTTATTTGGCATGGTCTGATTTTACCCCATTTGTCAAAGACAAACAAACCTAGGGCTTCGAATTCAATAATTTCATCCTTCGAATCTCGATTCAATCACACCCAATGAAATACTGAAAACCCAATTTGAACTTTTCCAACATATGAAGTATAATTGACCAGTTTTGCCGATTTCCTTTCAAAATCAGAGCTTCAAATTCACCAATTTTGCCCTTCGAAACTTGATTTGATCATATCCAATTCCCCAACATATGGTTAATACAATCAAGTAATTTCAAATCAACTAATTTTACTTTGAACAAACAGTCTATATTTTCCAAAATATGGAAACCTCTTTTAAGGACTGCACTATTTTATTCTAAAAAAATGATTTCTTCTGTATATTACCAAACCAACTATTGGTTTGAAACTTAGAACAAACAACTTCTAACCTTAAGGTATTTCAAATTTTGATTCGAAGGATTTTACTTTCATTAAGAAACCTAAAAACAAGTCTTTAATCCTTTTGAAGTAAACAAATACCTGGGCATTCCTACAGCCTTAGGTGTAGAATGTGCTTCGAAGTTGACTTCCTGTTTTCGAAACTGTTTGTCACTTGATTTTGGCGCCAAAACTTGGCTTCGAAGCCAAAAGTTTGATTTCAAAGCCAACATTAGTATTTGAGATACATTTCTCTCCCAAATTACCACTATTGAGGGGAACCTTTTGTATCCATACCTTTAACACTTCTTTATGAATTCAACCTACTTAAAACGATTGGGTATATTTTTCAGACAGAAAGGTTTAAAAATCCCTTTTTATTTTGTGCTTTCAATTCACTCATTTGCCTAACACACAAACCCTTCATCTCTATTGACCCTCTATTTCTTGCTGCTCGTTACTAATGGAGTCTTCTTCCTTGAAAGTACCAACTGGAGAACGTATAAGCCCAACAATGGCTTTGAAAAGATATATTGAGGAAGAAATTGCTAAATTTAAAGCTGGTGGATCGATTGCCATAGACAGACGCCTCTTTATTCCTCGCCACAGCGAAAAATAAGAATATGTCCTAGGTCCTATCTTTCGAGAGGTTCCCGCCCAACTTCCCGCTTTGTACCCTCGTTTGGAATACCACTTTGTTCTCTATGAAGGGGGGCTTGACTGGGAAAATTAGAGGGTGAACCGACCTCATCGTTGCTGGCCAACATTGAGGGTTGAGTGGGAGGAGTGGTATGATAAGGTCGTGCTTGCAAGATAATGGGACCTACAAGAGCTCTGTATTCTTGATGCTTTTCGTTTTTCCAAGTTTATCATTCCTGAAGACCCTTTTTTTATTCCTGCCGCTCTTTGTTTTTGGAATATGACCTTTAACTTTTTTCAGTTTCGGTGTGGTATGATGGCCCTCACCGTTCTTGATATTTGCCATCTCTTAGGGCTTTCACCACTCAGTACTCCTTTTATACCTAGCTATCCAGACCTTTTGGTTAAATTTTCTCTTCCACCTTTGAATTCTTCCTTCAATGACTTCGTAAAGGCTAAGAATAAAAAGGAAGGCCCTGTGAGTGATCGAGAACTCTTCTCATTTATTTTATATTGGTTGTGTAAATTTCTCTTCTGTACATCATCTCAATGAATCATGCCTGAGTTTACCCCACTTGCAAAGTGTCACGACCCAAACTCGCCCTTATAGGTTTAGCACCGTAACCGGCCAGTAATCCGAGATTACCGAAGGCCTGTTTAACAGTAATACAGAGTATAGAGACTGTCGAAAGCCAAAACAGTAATTAAAAGATGTCCGATGAGCTGTGACAGTCTGTATGCAAAAAGACTTTTCATATATATTCACATTCAGAAACAAAACAGTAGATACATACATACATACATACATCATTTACAGGCGTTCAGGTTAGGGACCAAATCCCTACCATAACAGTACAGTACGGGTACATATGTCAGTCTATACAGTGTTACAAAACCAGATACAAAAATAAAGAAAACTAAAACACCCCAAAAAGCCCTAACTTGAAGGACTTGGAACCTCGCAGTGAAGCACAGTGGTTGGCTTTGACAAAACGGGAGCTTAGCCCGACGCTCCTAGCAACGGTCTGGTGCCTGCACACCTACATATATATATAAGTAGTGAGCTAAAGCCCCGTAAATAACATATGCGTAAAGAGGTTAAGAATGAATGTCCCTTTAGTATTGAAAATAGTCATTTATCAGTATATCAGTCGTTCAGTTTGTGGCTTATAATTCATGCCATAACAGTCATTCATAAAATATAATAGTCATATGTGGTACATCCGATAGCAAAATAGTACAGTAAGTCTTAACAGACCAAGCAGTCAATAATAGCCATCAGTAATGGTTCCAAACATGGGAATCGACAGAGATCTCTATAACAGTAGCAATAACAGATCAGTAACAGTAAATTGCTATGGATGTCACGAATACAGTTCACAAATAGGACAAACATTCATTCAACAAACAGTGTCATTTCATAAAGCAGTACAGTCATTTGTTCAGAAAATAATCTCAATTGAACATATCTTTATAACATTGTTACTCACAGAGTTCTGGGTTACAGATAAGCTAGTACGCGTCCTCGGATGCCAACCCTACACAGTTACAGAGTGAACACACACTAAGTTACACAGTTGGGAAATAATAACTTAATCCCTAATTTGCCTCGGTGTGGTTCTACATCAATATCCTCATTAAGATGCCTTAAACTAGGCCTAGGAATGCCTAGGATGGAATGAGGATGCAAAGATGCACTTTAAAACACTTTTCAAATTTTCAGAAAACAAGGGTCCCGCTTGAGCGTGGGTTTCTACACTCGAACGGACATTCAGACAAAGGATCCCCGCTCGAGCGCCACTTTCCACGCTCGAGCGGACTGCAAAACATGACAAAAGTACTGGATGCACGAAATTCACGCTCAATGGGCGCTCGATACCCGCTCGAGTGTGAGACACAAGTCCTCGCTCGAGCGTGCATTCCTCCGCTCGAGCTGTAAAAATATGCAAAGTACTGGATACACGCATTTTACGCTCGAGCGTCACTTTCTCCCGCTCGAGCGGACTGCATGAATTCAGTAGGTACGCTCGAGCGTGAGTCCAAAATCTGAAAATTCTAGATTTGAACATCAAGCTCAAAACTCAATTTTAATGCACTAAAATCGATCCTCTTGGGCTAATTTTCTGGAAAACACTTCAAAACCCACAATATTACATGTTTCAAAGATCAATTTGAGAAATCAAAGCCCAAAAGTAGTTCAATTAAACACAATTTCAACAATAATTCAAGAACATGATGAACATGCAACATGCATGAATTTAACCAACTTCAAAGCTTCTAATTCATGCTCCTAAGAGCCAATTCTTTCGAAAACAAGATGAAATCATGGGCTATGGTCAAAAAATGGACATGCATGAAGCAATTCCCATGAAAACAACCTCAAAACTTCAAGATATGCACATGCATGCATGAATCAAGCTCCAATTCAACAATTTAATTAAATTCTTGACTCAACTCACTCAATTACCATGTACCATGCAAGAATCTACTAAATTTCATGATCAAGAAGGGAAATTCTCTACCTTATGTCTTAAGTTCAAGATGTAGAAGCTCAATATGCAATTCTCCTTCAAATTCTCTAAGCAATCTTTGATGAATTCTATTTTCTCCCAATTCCCTCTCTCTCTAGTCGGTTTTGCTCTAGGAAATGAGCTGAAAAAATGTTACATCAACATGTATGAAGTGGAGAGGGGTTGCCTAGATAAATCCCCTAGATGGCAATTAGGTGGTTAAGGCCAACTCTTGTAATTTACCATTGTTAAATCGAATTTAATCATACCTAATCAAATTTCAATTAAATATAGCATAAAATCACATAAATTCCAATTAGTATAAAATATCCATCAATTTCAGATTCGGCCGCCAATAAGGTCTTCAATTTGCAATTTAAAACATAAAACACGAATAGATCATTTAACAGTCAAACAGATAGAAATGCATTTAACTAACACACTCAATCAATCAGTTTAGATTTTCAGTCAATTCAATTACTTATCATGATCAGTCTCAGTTTAGCAGTAATCAGTGGTGTTATCAGTAAACAGTAGTGAGAGTTGTCACACAAAGGCCCTTGTTTTGAAGAAACGAATAGCCTTGGCCCCTTATCTTTTAAGCCATGTCTATAGAGCCTGCTCTCAATTCTGTGAGAAACCTCTTAATATCAACTAGGGAGGTCCCCTCTGGGTGCTTCAACTCTGGCTCTTTGCATACTTCACTGATCTACATCCTAAGTGCTTGAAGTTCTTAGTTCAAGACCCTAGCACTTATGGAGAAAAGTATGTTAGAATTGCCCTTTATCCTGCTTCTTTCGCCTACTATCTTACTTTTTTTCACCAGCTTCCTGTTTCCCCAGCTGCCACCTTCTTTTACCCCTTCGATGCCAATAAAGGATCGACTTGGCTAAGGACATTCTTGGCTGATAGACAGTGTTCCATCCCATCGCACAAAGATATGTGGGCCTCTATTTTGTTATCGAGGGAACTTTTTATTGGTACTTTAAACCCTCAAGTTTATAAGTGCATATCTGAGGTATACTGCCCCTTCCAGTTTGCCAGGCAATTTGGGCTTACCCAAGGAATTTCCATTCCACTCTACAGTCTCTCGAATATCCATCTTACAACTAGAGACCTGAGAGTACCCAAACCTAAACTAGATGAGACAACATTTAAATTGTTGAAAGATTTGAGTGAGTTTAAATTTACCCCATTCCTCTCCTCTGGCTTAGTTTTAAAAAGATTTCAAAATTAGTGGACAGTCAATATGGAAGTGCATCTAGCAATACATCCTTATGATTTACTAATAGGGCTAGGTTGGCCTTCCAAGGCTAAACCAAAAGAAACTGGGGTCATCCCCTCTCATTCTACAGCTACCAAGACTATTCCTGCAGTCTCACTCCCTTCTTCCAGAGTTACCAGAGCTGCTTCGAAAAAGGGTATGCATTTTTAGGTTTCTTTCCTTTCAGAATTTTCTGTTTGTTTTCTTCATATTCATATTACTTGGTGTAGGGTCTCACAAGAAGAATCTCCCAAGAGAGCTGAGGCTCTGGCTGTTCTCAAAGATAAACACCAGTAGAGAAAGAAAAGAAAACTACTACTCACTCCTGAGGAGTCTGAGTCTCAGATTGTAGAGAAAGAGACAGAGAAAGAGTAGGAAATACCATTGTAGAGGAAAAAGGGAAAGAAGATAACCGTCTCTCCTTATGACTTGGCCGAAGATCTTACTCATGAGACAGCTGCCAAAATAGTGGAGAATGAATACACTAAAAAAATAATTGTTTTCTAGAGGGCTGAAAAAAGGCGGCAGCAACAACTACTAAGGGATGAAGTTGTTGCTGCTGATACAACCCAAAAAGAAACTACAAGAAGGCAACACACTGTTGAGCATTATTCCCTTCGTAGTTCTCCCATCATTGCCACCACCTCTGAAACCAGTAATTTCCTTTCGTGTTTCCACTTTCCTTTCTCAAATTCTTGATACTGAGACTTACCATTACTTTGTATTTCTTCTTTTACAGCAACAACTACTCTGCCTTCTCATTCAATAGGGACTCTTTTAGTTTCATCTGAAGTTGAAAGACCTCAAAATGTGGAGCCAATTCAAGCAATACTCTCACTTTCTGGTCTTACATTCTTCATACATTTCTTAAGGCAAAGCGTTCCTACATCCTTATCTTTCGGCTTAACTCCATGCTTCCCTCTTTTATCCTTCAACTCTACTCAATTTGTTCTTCCTTTAAGCCTTGCTGCTGCTTCCCCCCTGAGGAAATTTCAGCTATTACTTCATCTCCAGTGATAGTTGATTCCTATAAGGAAGACACTGGTAGCTCACCAGTTCCTTGTCTACTAATCTTTTCTAGCTCCAGTCCCTCTTCTCTTGACTTAATGGTAGCCAAAACTATGGAGACTGCTAGGGATGCTTCACCTTCTTCTCCTATTCCTCTA